TTGCAGGTGATAGCTTAATAAGATAAATTTCACCATTGGATTCGATCTGTTTTGAAATGCAAATACCACTAATTTTGACTCCGAAACTGTAAACTCACTTTAAGTAGTCTGTGATGAAACTGCTTAATTGTTGAAGTATTTGAAAATTCATCACTTCAGTTCCTAAAATGTATGAATTTAAGTAAATTTTAGGAACTAATTCGAATTATTTTTAATATTGAAGAATTACCTAACATGATTTATACCACTGCTAAGATTACTTACTTCCATTTAGGAGAGAGGATGATATGAGGAAAATGGTGTTTTAGTCGTTCTCAAATGGTTTAACCATTCAATAATCCAATTTAGTTAAACTTCTTAGTTACATCATTTATAAGTTGATAACTATTCAAAATAATTATTAAGTATTTCAAAACTATCGAGCATTTGTGACTAATGTTTGTAGGGGATTCCTGGAAAAATTTAACAACAATAAGACCTATGTTAAACTTATACAAAAAATTTACCTGCCTCCTACCTAAAACTTAATAGTAGACTTCTTCCTTATATATTCATGTTATCCAATAGATTAATAGGGATATAATGGTATTAATACCTAATAATTTCTTCATGACAAGTTAATTTTGCTTAAAATTTAAATTGTTCATAAATCTGCAATAGATTCTCGAATAGTGTATATGTTTGTGTCTATGACCTTCAAATGTTATACAGTGGTGGTAGCAGCTGCTTATCCTAGTTTCCGATCTGAGTTGTAATGCACAAATAAATTATGCAGGGATTGACTAACGAGCGTATGATCGATGAAGTAAAGAAGTATGTAGAGTACGTAAAATTTAAGTACCCTTACTGGAACAGAACCTTGGGTGCTGATCATTTTTTTGTGACTTGCCACGACATCGGAGTCAAGGCTACTAAAGGAGTTCCACATCTGATGAAAAATTCTATTAGAGTGGTTTGTTCATCACGTTATGACGACGATGATTATATTCCACACAAGGATGTTACCCTACCACAAGTGCAGCTACCATTTTTTCACCCTCCAGGAGGGAATGACTTCAAGAATAGGTTAGCTTCATACTTTATTTTGTTCTATTCTAAATCAGTCCAACAGAATTAGTATCTGAAAAAACTAGAACTCTTTCACTCTCCAGAAACAGAAATTTCATTTCATGACAATGGAAATATTGCAGGAACACACTTGCTTTCTGGGCTGGTCTTTCTGACTCAACATTGAAAGATAATCTAAAAGCTATCTGGGACAATGATACTGAACTAGACATCCAGAATAACAGAATTGATTTTCGATCGACTGGACAAGTAGTATTCATGGAGAGACTTTATAAATCCAAGTTTTGTTTGTGCCCTCAAGGGCCTATCGGCAGCAGTCGTATCTCAGACTCGATCCACTTTGGGTGTGTACCAGGTAAACCATATCTGGCAGCTGAAAATCACAACTTCTTGTGCTCAATATTTTGCTAGTTACCTCCTCGTTATCAACTTGTCTATATCTCTTCGGCAAAGCACATGGACATGACCTTTTGCATCAAGAAAACTGTTCTAGCTCTTGTTAAGAGTCTCCAGACTCGAATAGGGAGCAACCTGCTGTATTACTGGCTACCCAACGGTTTTGCTCTCGAAAACATACTTTTTGCTCATTTGAAACATAGAATAATACTCTTAAGTTACTAATCAACTTAGCCCTATTCCCACTCTTGGCCATGAAAGATGTGAGGATATATTCTTTTATTAAATTTCATTTGCTTCACAAAAGCTGGGAATGTGCAGCTAACCTATTACATAGAAATAGAAGAATAAAGTTTAGCAAAAACTAATAAAGAAAAAAATTGTTAAGGTAAAAAGATCCCTTCTCGAGTGCACCTCACCAGTTACTGAATCATGTCGGTAGCCCCTGCTATTGCATCTGATCTAAGTATCTTTTACCTGGGCATATCATGTAAAGTGGTTGTGGCTGCACATTCCCCTACTATGGTATTTAACCTATTACCTTCTAAGTTTTCACTCCAGCCATTTCTGCAATTCACAATGGAAAATGCTACGTAGCTTACCTCAAACTTTTCGTTTTACTTCACATATAAGCTATGACGTTAGTTGCCATAAATAAAAAATATGCTGTTGATCATCTCCCTTGTTTGTCTTGAAATACTGTTCCCTAATGGAAGCTCTTTCCGGTCTTTCTACAGTTATCATGTCAAACTATTATGACTTGCCTTTTAATGATATTCTGGATTGGAGGAAATTCTCTGTTATACTGAAGGAGACTGACGTTTATCGGCTCAAAGATATTCTCAAAAGCATATCTGCGAAACATTTCATGATATTGAATCAGAACTTAGTAAAGGTACCATCAATTTAAAGTTCAATTTATCAACCTATAAATATTATGCGATTTGACGAGAGATTATGAAGGTAGGATAGTAGTAAAAGAACTGATGTTGTTTATCGTAGGATAAGAAATTGGAAGTTTGACATCTACTTTCTTTTCAGTTACATCATCCTTCCAAATTTCTAAATCAAAGAAAGGAAATGAGACATTGAGTATTGCTCGTCAGAAGATAATAACTCCTATTTTTCCTGTCTCTCTTTTAATTTGTTGCTTTTGTTGTTCAGATCCAAAAGCATTTCAATTGGAATACACCTCCTGTCAGACTAGATGCATTTCATATGGTCATGTATGAACTCTGGCTACGCCGCCACCTGATTAGGTACTGATTTTTTCAATGAATTGACGCAGTGTTATACAAAGCAAGGAATTGTTTCTGTACATAAATGTTGATTCACCACTTCTGATCCCACCTTGGAAAATCTGCAAAACAATTGTAACCACAAAAGTAATTTTTTGCTCAAGAACTTCTCTGTATAAAATACGGGAAGTAACAGAGCCCCTTTTAGTAGAATAATTGTTTAGGTCTGCACGAAACTTCAAAACAGTGGAAGAAATAAAAGGTATTTTGAAATGTGCTTGCGAGAAAGCAAAAGATGCTGGTGCATATACCAAAAGACTGTTTAGGTCTGCATGAAACATTAGTGTACCTTCTTCAGGAGTACTCAAACTTCATTGCAGAATTCTGTGAATTTCTTCCTCTAGCGAGATTGCTTCACTGCAGCAATTGGATTATATTTTACTAAATAGGATAGTTTTTTAACATCTCCAAGAAAAAAATTCAGAGTTCAAATTCCAATCTAATGAAAAGCCATAGACTAACTTCTAATCAACGCTATTTATCTTGTACTATTTTGATATCAAAGAAGCTTTAATTAAAGTATTTCTTTTAAGAAAGTTATAAATTCTCTTAAACAACCATTTCTTATAGAATATGCTACTAAATCCAGTTCTCAGAATTAAACTTTGTACTCTGAAAAGTTTAGATAAAATTCTTAATAATTATTCATAAAAGAAGATAAAATAAATTATAAAGGTATAATGGATCAAGGTTTTGATTGAATTCAAAAATCAATTTACGCAACTCATCCAACATAAAATTTAAAAAATTCCTAAAAGAAGTTAACATGTATAAATTGAATCTAACTATATGAGAAGTTTAATTATTATGTTTTATCTTTCTACTAGTCCTTATAAAGAAGTATGAGTACAAGTGGCTATATATTTATGGAGATAGATAAAGAGTGGAAAGAGATCAAATTACATCTTTCTCACTTCTACCATTTGCTACACCCTACAAATATCTTTCAATTAGATCATGTTTTTCGGATACTCACTGTGAATTGAAAATTATTTTCACATATAATATACATGTAAAATTTTATCAGTATAAAATTATACTGTCTTATCAGTATAAAAATATATACTGTCTTATTTATGTTGAATAAAACCAAAGTGATACATATTTTTGAAATATAATAAAATATGAATTATTCGATCACTTTTGGTATTGTTTAATTTTATAAAACTAAAATCTTATATGAATAATTATAATGATGTAATTGTTATTATAAATATTTGATTTTTGTTTAGTCAAATGTAATTTTCTTATCATCGCTTTCATTTTAGTTTCTTCTAGAACCATTAATTAATATTCGGCATTAGAGCCTCCTCGTCGGGCTTATTAGAAGCAACGGTCTTTTAAGATATTGATTATAGACGATACAACCACTAGTGTCAAAAATTGATGGTCATTGGGTGATGTTTGTGGAAAATTTCCTTGGTTTAAAATAAAAATATTGGATTGTGATAGAAAATGAAATTCCTGTCGTAGCAAGAGGTGTAGCACTTCTATGAGCACAAAAGAAAAATCATCAAGATCATAAGTTGGAGGATCTAAAAGCTAAGAGCTATCTTTTTCAGGTATTGGTCAGAGGCAATCATCAACAAAGACGTGTTAAAAAATATTTGAGACTTTGTTCTGGAGACAATCATTAAAAAAGACACGTTAAAAAATATTTAGAACTCTGCCAGAAATATCAGGTTACAACACAAGCGAAACATGCCCATTTGCAATCATTATAGGAGTTTGAAGTTATTCACATGAAGAAGGGAGAAGTTGTGAATGGGTATTTTGTAGTGAAGAAGACATTGAGGTCAATGACACTGAAGTTTAATTATGTTATGCGTTGCATTGACAATTATGGTTATTAGTGAATCACCCTTGACTGTGTATGGTAGTCCTACAGAATTTACCATAATGTGACTTCAGATCCCTTTGAAGCTTTAATTTAGAATGACGAAAGATTCATCGGCAATCTTTGTGCATAAATCGATATAGTTGAAAAACGTTACTTTGAAACAAGTTTAAAGATTTAATAAATTTAAACTTGAAGGAAAGTATCAGCATCTCAAAATACCGTATCTTCTAAGATCCATTTCCCTATTTCCTTTCTCCTTGAGTCATCATAATTTATTTTCCCAATTAACTAAAATTATAATCAGCATAAAAAGCATACATCATGATTAATATGCATTAAGTTTTCATTTTCTTAAAACGGAGTTCCTTTAAAATATCCGATCTTAACTGTACGAGGAGTTGAAAGAAGACATCTGGTAGTAGACATACTAATCAGATGAAATCTTAAAATGCTGCTTACTGTTGCTTTGGTATGCACTAAAGAATCAAGTAATTGATTGATGTTAAATAGCTACACTACACTACACTACAACGTCACTAACCAAAAATAGTTGGTGACTGTTTTTGAGATTGAATAAATCATACAAGACTGCTGGATATTACAAGATTTGTCATGATGAGCCACTAAGAATAAATGCTCGGAGAAGGCTCTGCGCTGCTTTGGTTTCATCAGGTGAACCAGATATGATAATAATCCTGTCTCTTGTTCCAGGACGAGGTTCATGGACAACCACCTTCGCTCCCGATATCTGATAGGAACAATAAAAATAAACAAATTAACTTCATATGACAAACCAAAATAAGAAAAAGGATTGATAATATTAAAACATAAAATACTATATTTTAAATTCCCTGTTATTTAATATAATTGCAAAGGGATTAGAAAGCTATTAAAGCACCTCATTTATTGAAAATGCAAGAAAAAAGGACCATTTTATCATCTAGTATAAACCTGTCATTCCATCAACCCTGCGCTCAGTCCATTGGTGAAAATATCAAGGGACCAAGTTGATAATGATGAAAGAAAAATCACATGATTTTCGAAAATGACAGACTGAAACAGACATTTTCCTAACAGATAATTTAGAAATTAGAAATCAAATCAAATGTTGATCACAAAGGCAAGTTCATAAGGATGACATGGTAAGTGGTGAACAAGTTAACAAAAAATTAACATATCTAAGGTTATTATTCAAGCTTATGTACCTGTCTCAGACGAGCCAAATTGCTACCATTTTCTCCGTATACAGAATCAATAGTCTCATCAGGAACCACAATTTCTACTGTCGTATTAGTCACAATGGCAGGTTTACTTCCACTGCAGAACACAAAAAGAATAATAAGAAATTAACAGTTGGGGCATTCTATTTTATATGTTCAGCTGTATTTTCATCACTTCTTGTTGCCTACAACTTTACTCCCAAAAGAAAGGATTTCAAATAAGAGAAAATGAACAATAGCACAAGAAAAGCAGTGTCAAAAATATTATATATACAATGGTTTGTCACCAGACTCCAAACATCAATCAAATGATGAATGAACATAGAAGTCACGTAAAATAGAGAAAGGCCATTTCTAATTCTAATACAGGCTTATTACAGAACACCTGGTGCAGGATATGGTAGTTTCTATTGCATGTTCAAATAATAAATTACCTTTCCTAACTTGTGCCAGTGTGAAAGTTATAACTAAATTATACCTAAAAAAAATCAACTTTTTAAGAACATTATTCAGTTTCCATCACATACAGTGTACTTATAATGCATGATACAATGTCACTAAATACAAGAAAAAAAAAAGGCACCCTTGGTACTTATTGCATGTTAGAAAATATTATAAGATGGCAAAATTAAACAAATTCTCGAGAGCGCTACTCGAAAATGTCAAGGGAAGCTCAAGACCCATCCACAGGCATTACATTACATTACAATAATACTAAAATCTTAAAAATTGAGATAACAAGAAACTTTGACGTTAGTTTTTGACCTATATATAGATTTGCTATTTGGAATTAAACAAGTCTAGTTTGTTTAGTAAATCAGCAACCTGACAAGTTCTAAGCCTCCTCTACGAGATGTCAATCCCCAATTAAAATCATTAACTCCTCTTGAATTTATCCCAGTCATTGTCTGCATCAAATTTAAATAAGAAATAGTTAATAAAAATAATAATTTCTTACGGTAAAATTGACAGCACAGAGAGATAGGGAGATGTACCGGTGGCGTCCATAACCCTGGTGAAGAAGGACGATCTAAATTTCTAGCCCACAGCCCTGGTGAAGAAGGTCGGTCTAAATTTCTAGACCACAGCCCTGGTGAAGAAGGACGGTCTAAATTTCTAGACCAAAAGCCTGGGGAAGAAGGACGATCTAAACTTCTAGAAAGAGCAGGATGATCAATGCCATGAGAAAAAGTATGTCTACTAAGACTATGGGAAGTGGCTGCGGGTAGTTGGCTTCCAAGAGGAACAACATCCTGCAGTCTCCCATAGGGGCTGTTATCAACACGTAGAGAAGAAAGGCTCCTTGTTCCAGCACTATTCTGAGTGCTGGCAAAAAGATTATCTCGCAGTCTACCGGTTGCATTATATAAAGCATCTTGCACACTTGAAAAGTCGCCTGATATCTGAGGGAAGAAGACAATACAAATGGTATAACTTATAAACACCTAAAACATTATTATCATGCCTAAACCAAATATAGCGAAATACATATCATAGGAGTTTTAGGCAAACATATAAATGCTTTGGGAAACAAGATTCATCTCTGGTAAATTCTAATCAATGCAAGGAAAAACTATAGATACACACTTAAGGGTGATAAATATTTCAGAATGAATGAGGAAAGAACAGATGCATATAATTTAAAATATTCAAATATCACATAATTAAGGTCGAAGAGTTTTGTCGAAAAAGGTGACTATCATCACAAAAGTAGCCCGATGAAGGGTGAGAAATTATATTTAAGTTAGAAGCGTAACAATTTATTGGTGTTGCCAGATACACAGAATCACATTCATTATAAAAAATTAAAGATAGAAAGTCTTCTTCAGCATATTTTAATTGTAAAAGGAAATAAAGAAAAGGGTCTAATCTCCAAACCTGTACAACTTGATCATTATCTGATGCACATTTTGGCACCTGATCAGTCCCAATTATTCTTATGCTAGCACCAGTAGCCTTCCGCATTTCTGATATTATTACTCCACCTTTTCCTAACAAACAACCAACTTGGCTTGACGGGACTACAAGACGAGCAGTAACAATTGACCTGTTACTTAATCCAGAGTCTAGCCCATTCTCAAAACCAGATTCAATGGACCTGGAGTAAACAAGCACAGTAGCCTTTTGTGCTGGGGAATATCTTGACTCAGGATTCTGTATAAATTGAAGCCACAATCAATAAGTGCATAAAAAAAACAGCGATAATAATAATACACTCAGAACTGAAAGACACAAAATAAGTAAAAATGGAAAGATTATATTTATCAGACCTCGGAAGCAGTAATCGTAATTATTCGATCCTCACACCCATCTACTGAAGGACCAATACTTATTGTAGCCCCAGTCTCACTCTGAAGAGCTCTAACAATATTGCCTCCCTTTCCAATAACTCCTCCAACTCTATCATTTGAACAAAGTATTCTAAAGGTGATTTCCTGCTGAAGTGCCTTTGGTTCCAGGGAGGAAACTCTGTTAACTTCCGCTGGCAATGAGTGAAATCTGGTGCCATAGCTGTTAGAGTAACTGGACAAAGTAGACAGCGCAGGGCTCCTCAGGGGAAGACGATCTATAGTCTCATGTGGTACTGCAGTAACTGCAGTTAAAGTCTCACGAGAAAGTGCATCTGTGGCTTCATACTGAACCATTTCATAAGGATTGCTTCCCTTTATCTTTGTTCTATCAACAGGAGGACAATCTTGAAGACGTTGGGAGACCGCAACAAGTGCCTTCTTTACCGATGAGACTCTGCCTTCTATCTGTCACAGTACACAACCAAAAGATATTATCTCAGCATAAGAAAATTTTCACACCATAAACAATTTGAAGCCTATTAACCCATAATACACGAAAAACTAACCCCACTACAATAAACTAACAACTCATATCGACCAGCTCCATATGAAACACTTTACCCCAAAAGTTCGAATGAACACTAAAATCTTGATCCTGAAATCTTAAAGAACACACGCTTAACCCTGAAACCCCGGTTCCTGCCTAAACAGAAAAACTAATTCACTACAATAAACTAACAAACCATATCCAGCAGCTCCGCATGAAACCCTTAATCCTAAAAACTGAAATGATACTGCACAACGAAGTAACAGAACAAACACTAGCAGTGGTAATGGAATGCCTCAGTGGTGTTAACCTAAAAGTTCAAGTGATAAATCCAAAAATCATGAAGAGCAAGAAGTAAAACTACCTCAATGATTTCATCCGAAGAGGAGGCACAAAGCGGCAAATCATCAGTTAAAACCCTAATTTTACATCCAGTGTTCTTCTTGATCCTCTCCACCACTCTCCCACCCTTGCCGATGACGGAGCCGGCTTGCGCCGCGTCAGCCACAAGCCGGCAAGACATCATCATGTCGCCGACGTCGACACCCTCCGTTTCCGCTGCCACATCGAGGATCCTATCGAACACCAACAACAGCGCTTCCTGCGCCTTCGAAACCTCAACGGCCTCATCCTTTCTCAGCAGAACCTTGCCGCTGACGGCAGCGTCAGCAATGACCAGGATGATACGGTCCGGCGACTCCGGCGACGCGTCCTCGATTCGGATCTTGGCGCCGGTCGATTGCTGGAGTTTTTTTATGATGGAACCGGACTTGCCGATAACGCCACCGATTCGGGAGGCGTTGCAGAGAAGGCGGAAAGAGGCGTGCCCGGGCGGCACGGAAAGCGGAGGCGGCGGAGGCCTGGACGACCTGGAGCGCTTGGAGGGCCCATTTGGAGGAAACGGGTTCGGGTCGGGTGCGGAACGCTTTGCTGGCGGAGAATGAAAGGTGCTTCCCATAGTTCTCTTCTTCCTCTCTACGAATAAAATAAAAAATTCGGCAAACTTTCGAAAGTAAGAGTTGCAGAAAGAGGGAGCAGATGAGAGGGCTCTGCACTCTGACGCTAAAATGCGCAGAGGGAGAAACACCGTGCGCACCGCGCCTAGGGTTTCTCAACGCGCGCAAACAGAGGCTTTGCTTTGCCACTTCTTTTCTTTTATATATATATATATATATATATATATATTAACATATATATCTCAGCCTCCGTGAGACGACGTTGACGACTTGATGGAGTGGCGTCACTACGTAGCGTCACGACCAAAAACTTTTATATATATATATATTCAGTTTTATTAAATATTTATTTTTCGTGTGTCATTTATAGCAATTTTTTTTTATCATAGAAGTATATGTTTGGATTAAAGTTTAGAGAATTTAAAAGTACTTCGGTATCTCAAATATTTTTTTTCGTTAGATTTTTTGGAATTAACTATTAATTCACAAAAACATTTTTCTTAAAAGTATGGTTTTTCATATATGTCTATTATGTTTAGTGTTGTCAAAATAGACGGTAATACGCAAATTAATCTGGTTTACTAAGAATTTGAATTGGGTTGGATTTGAAAAAAAAAGTATAATTTTTTTATGCGGACTAATTTTTAACCCGGTTCATCGGATTGAACTCATGGTAAATTGGGTTGGCTCACCAAACAATCTAATTTAATTTAATTATTTATTATTTTGTGTTTTATTAGTTAACATTTTTTTTATTATATTATAGATGGTGATAAAGAAGAAGATGTTTTAATAGAGAAAAGTATTATAGATTTATATATTAAGATTCTAATATTATAAATGGATAAGTGATACGAAAATTATCAATATTAAAAACTTATATGTTTGTCTTTTGTACATGTTTCTGGATTATGCATGGATTGTATGATATTTTTTTTAATTGTCTTTGGGGTTTAACATCATTATAGTGTCATGTTTGTTTAGATTTGAAATAAATAATAATAATTCTTTTATTTAAAAAAAATTATAATTAAATGAATCAACCCATTTAACCCACTAATCCGGTGGATCGAGTCGAGTTCGAATTTTTAAGCTTGTGAATAAGTGAGCCGGGTTGGGTTGGGTTTGCTCACTAAGTGACCAACTCGCAGTGAGCCAGACCGGATCGAACTAGGTTACCCATTTTGATAACTCTACTTGTGTTCTTTTTATTTAGTTTTAAAATGTTTTTAAGTGTGATATCCTTTTATTTATATATCTTTTTAATCATTAATTATTTTATGCACAAATTTAATGGTCATTTAATAACATTTGACATTTAAATCACAAGAGAAAATTTATCTATAAAGTTATTGTTTATAATTTACATCATTCTAGAACTCATATTAATTTTTTAACATCATTAAAAGATTAAGACATTGTGTAGAATGATTAAAAAGAAAAAATATTGTATAGAAAGAGAAAACGAAGAAATTAACTATAAAGAGAAAAAGTACATTTAAGATATAAATATGTTTTTCAATCAAAGATCTATGTTTTTCAATCAAAGATCTATACTAATATCAAACCTCACACGAAATTTTTTACCTGGATCACTCTGAAGGTAGTGATATGTAATCATTTTAAGAACATTTGTAAATGTCGAAATAGAAAATTTTGTTTGTGACAATCAATATTAATGTTAATGGTAGTCCTAAGAACACCACGACAAATTTCAAATTTCTTGTCTAGGTCATGAATCTCAAAGTGTAACAACTTTTTGCATACTTGATGAGAATTGTGAACCTTAATAATTATTTAGAAATAGCATTAATAACTTATAACATTATTTCAAATTTTGTTTATTGTGACAAATTTATTTTTAAGTATCATTTTGAAAAGGATAGATTTTAATTTGTAAAATTATATATATATATATATATTAAATATATTATATATATAAAAGATAATAAACAAAGACACTTAAAGAGGTTTTAAAATATATCTTAAAGAAAAAACACACAATATTTTTTTTATTTAGATATGCTTGTTATTATTGATGATATTATCATTGAATTTAGTAAAGAGTCAAATTATTATGTTTGAATTGAAATTACATTAAATTAAATGATGTTTAAAACTTCGTAACTTTAGAGCTGTCAAAACGGATTACAATCCACGGGCTAATCCGGTCCATCACGGGTTTGAACCAAGTTGGATTTGAAAAAATTGTATCTTTTTTATGCGGATCAGATTTCAACCCTGCTCATGCGGGTTGAACCTGTGGTGGGCCGGGTTGACCCACCGACCTACCTAATTTTATTTTATTAAAATTTAATTTTAATTTTATAAAAAAATATTTATTATTTTGTTTTTACTTGAAAAAATTATTTAAGTTTCTTATTTTCAAAATTAAATTTAGATTTGAATTATAGAAAGTTTGTAATTTTTTTATTTTAAAAAATTATAATTAAGTGAGTCAGTGAATCAACTTGTTTATCCACCAACTCGTGGTAGGTCGGACCGGGTTTGAATTTTTCTGACTTGCTAATAAATGAGCTGGGTTGAATTGGTTCACTAAGTGACCAACCCGTGGTGGGTCGAACTAGATCGGGTCAGATAACTCGTTTTGACAATTCTAATATTTTGTATAAAGACAACGGTTGTCCGTATAGATGAATGTATAGTTAAGTATTATTGAAGGGACACATGCAAAAGTCATGTTTTAAAGAAAAAAAAAAAGTGATTACTTGTTGGTTGGTATTAAGGCATGAGAATCATGCAAACTTATTATGTAATAATAAAAAAGAGAAATTGTATAGGATTAGATCATCATGAATAAATGTGAATAGTAAAACATTTAGGATGTTTTCTGAAACAAACATTTAGGATGTTTGTGTTTTCAATGCTAATTATTTCTGTCATAATGGAAGAGAATTCCTCTTCGATGTTTCTTTTAAGGAATGGAAATTAAATGCGTGGAATGTTTGTACAGAAATGTTAAGTAAACTATTAGCAAGGAAGTTCATGAAAGAAGATAGTTACCAATCTGAATCATCCATGTACCTATATTTCTTATCTCTATTTCCTTGGGTTAACATGAAAAGTTAGTACAAACTAATTCACTTAAATTTCTTGTGAGTTTCATATTTGTTATTTAGCTCACTAGATAAGGTTAAAATAATTTATTTTTCTTAAACTAAATGCACACAAATGTACAACAAAATAAAATAAGGAATAATATTAGACCAAACAGGTAAAATTGTTCTGGACTGGAATCTTACATTTTGACCTAGTCTATGAGATTTAACTTAATTATTTTTTTTAAAGCTCGAAAGAGTTTGATAATGTATCTTCAAAAATTTTTAAAATATATGTAACCTCTTCCATTAAGATATGATTAATTTTTAAAAAATAGAAAAGTGATTCTTTGACCTAGTTGCTTTTATAATTTTAAGATATATAATTATTTTTTAATGAAATATTATGATTTTATAAATATATAAATATTTGAATTAATTAAATTAATTATAAATTAAATAATTTTGCTTATAAATATTTAATATTTATTTTAAATTATTTTAATGAATTAATAATACTTAAGACTATCTAAAATATATTTTAAAATTTTCATATCATTTTAGAGAGAATAAATTTCGAAATCCGATGTTTTTTCTTTTCAATTTTCATATTCCATACAATATTTTTTATAGTAATAATTTTTATATGTTTTTCATTTATCAACATTAAACACACATTTTATTAGTTTCACTTGTTATTAAATTTCTTAATTTTCCAGTACAAATCAAAATAACAAATACAACACAAATGTTAACTTTAATACATGATAATAAGATTATAAATGAGTAATAAAAATAATAAATAATACAGTTATTATTATTATTATGATAATGTTGATAGTCATAATTAATTAATTGGAATCTAATATATTATCACACTAAACATATGTTAACACATGACATCAAATAAATAAAACCCAATTAGTTTTTATCAAATTTCATTAATCAGAAGTCAAATCTGGAATTTGGAATTCAGAATGAAACCTTTGAAATGTAGGTTGAAACACCCATTTCATGAGAAACTTTATTTAAAAAGGAAATGGTTTGAAGAGTTTGCTTATGCTTGGGTGAAATAAGATAACTATTATTAGGAATTAGTGTGGCATGAAGGTTCGAATTTTTAGATCCCTAAATCAAGACAGAAGAAAATTATAGGTAAAATTAGTTGTTTGGATTAAAATATATTAGCTAATCTAGCTTACAAAAAATGGAATTGGATTAAAGTTCTTGTTTGGAATTATAGATGAATTATTCGTTGATAAAAAGAAAGCCTAAAAACCAAATTTTTAAAATTTTAATTACAGTTTACGTAAATTATCCTTTGTCATTTATAGTTTAGGAATGGAATTTACCAGTACCTCAATGACTACAAAGAAACCTCTAACTGTATACATTTTCTGTATTAGGATATATTTTTTATTTCTTTCTTTTTTTCAGGATTTCCTTGCACTTTTTTTTTTGTTTTATTTTATTTTAGTTTTTATTATCTTTGTCCTGTTTAAGTTATTGACAGTCTATGCGTGGAACAGTATATTTAATAATCTTGAACTGTTTTATTATATTGGTAATCTATCATTATATCTCTATTCCAATAGAAATGCTGATAAACAATAGAAATGCTGGTGTTTACTAGAGAAAACAAATGAAAAGGAATGAATAATATAAAGCCAAGACGAATCACAAAGATCTTCATTCCATCTTTTTGTCTACCAAAGAGACAATACTTTACTTATTCCCGATCATGATTTTCCTACCCCAGAAGAAAAGTCCTTTTATAAATAAAAAGGACTTTTTGCTCCACCCTAGAAGATAATCACATAATAGTAAATTTTACCATTCCAACAATACAATTTCTTGTTGAGAAAGGAAAATTAAATATATAAATTTTCTGAGCAGTAGATTAATACCATATTTTCATTACTAAATGCTTTATTAAATCTTAAAGGTGCCTTTCTGAGCAGAAGATTAATACCATATCTTCATTACTAAATGCTTTATTAAATCTTAAAGGTGGGCAACTTACCCAGAATCAATAGAAAGTATTTACAAGTTGACATTATGTAGAAGTAGAAAAAAAAAAATCCTATCCTTGAAGGTTCAACCGACTGAACAATGCCAAAAAAGGTTGTT